AAAAAAAAAAAAAAAAAAAAGAAATAACTTTTTCTTTTTTTAATGACTTTTTTGCCAGAGTGCTGTGGCCCACGACTGTAATCCCAGCACTTTGGGAGGGTGAAGCAGGAGGATCATTTGAGGCCAGGAGTTTGAGACCAGCCTGGGCAACACGGTGAGATCCTATCTCAACAAAAATAAATAAAAATAAAAATTAGCCAGAAATAGCGGTGTATGCCTGTAGTCCTAGCACTGGGGAGGCTGAGGTGGGATGATCCTTTGAGCTCAGGAGTTCAAGGTTACAGTGAGCTATGACTGTGCCACTGCATTCCAACCTCAGTGAGAGTGAGATCCTGTCTCAAAAAAACATTTTTTTAAGTAACATAAAGTTGGCCAGGCATGGTGGCTCATGCTTGTAATCTCAACACTTTGAGAGGCTGAATCAGATGGATCACCTGTGCTCAGGAGTTTGAGGCCAGCCTGGCCAACATTGTGAAATCCCATCTCTATAAAAAGTACAAAATTAGCTGGGTGTGGTGGCACACGCCTGTAGTCCCAGCTACTTGGGAGACTGAGGCAGAAGAATTGCTTGAACCAGGGAGGCAGAGGTTGCAGTGAGCTGAGATCACACCACTGCACTCCAACCTAAGTGATAGAATGAGACTCCCTCTCAAAAAACAATATAGTAACATAAAGTAAAACTGACTTTTGTTGGTGTACAGCTTTATGAGTTTTAACACATGTATAGATTCCTAGAGCCAACAATGGTGTCTGAACAACGAACATTCATATACAAAAAGAGAACTTCAACCTAAACCGTACACCTTATACAAAAATTAGCTCCAAATGGATCATATATCTAAAAGCAATGTAAAATGATAAAAACTTTTAGAGAAAAGTAGGGGAAAATCACCAAAAGCATGAGTCACAAAAGAAACAATTGATAACTGGACTTCATCATAAATAAAAACTTTTGCTCTGTAAAAGACATGGTTAAGAAAATGAAAAAGCGAGTTACAAACTGAAACCAAATAGTTGCAAATCACATACCCAACAAAAAACTTGTATCCAGAATATATAAAGAACTCTTCAAACTCAACAGTAAGAAAACTAACAATGGGCTTAAAAAAAAAAAAAATCAGGAACAAACACTGCACCAGAGAGGATATAAAGATGGCAAATAACCACATGAATAGACGTTTGGCATCATTAGACAATAGGAAAATGCAAATTAAAACCATTATGATGTACCACTATCTACACATTAAAATGGGCAATATAAAAAATATTGACAATCTGAAGCATTGCGGGGGTGCAGAGCAATTAGACTCTTGTCCACTGGTGGAGGGAATGCAAAATAGCCATCCTGGAAAACATTTTGACACTTTTTTCTAAAGTTAAGCACACAATTACATATGACCCAGAAAACTCTCTCCACGGTATTTATCCTAGAGAGGTGAATACGCCCACATGAATGCTTTTTTAATTTTTTTTGAGACGGAGTCTGTTTCACTCTGTCGCTCAAGCTGGAGTGCAGCGGCGCAATTTCGGCTCACTACAACCTCTGCCTCCCGGGTTCAAGCGATTCTCCTGCCTTAGCCTCCCGAGCAGCTGGGACTACAGGGGCCCACCATCACGCCTAGCTAATTTTTGTACTTTTAGTAGAGATAGGGGTTTCACCATATTGGCCAGGCTGGTCTTGAACTCCTGACCTCATGATCTACCCCCCCCAGCCTCCTAATACAGCAGCTTTATTCATAGTTGATTCAAACTGGAAACAGCCCTAATATCTTTCAGTGGGTGACCAAGTAAACCAACCACATTAATGTACTGGGATATTTACCACTCAGCAATAAGAAGGAATAACTATTGATACACAGAACAAATTAATCTCAGAGGCATTAGGGGTGGACAAAGCCTGTCTCAAAAAATTACACACTGTATTATTCCAGTTGTATGACATTCCCTAAAAGATGAAACCATAGTGATGGTAGCAGGTGTCAAACATTAGGGGTGAGAGCAGGAGTGACTACACAGGGATAGCTCCAGGGAGTCCTTCAGAGTGATACAGTTCTTCTCTGCCTCTGTGTCCTGACTCTGGTGGTGGTTCTAGGAATCTTTTCTCCATTCAGTTGCCTTTGCACTTTGGTCAAAATCAATTTGTCATATTTGCGTAGGTCTATTTCTGTACTTCCTATTCTGTTCTATTGACCTAGCTGTCTGTCATTCCACCTGTATCACACTTTTTTTTTTTTTTTTGAGACAGGGTCTTCCTCTGTCACCCAGGCTGGCGTGCAGTGGTGTCATCTCGGCTCACAGCAACCTCCACCTCCCAGGTTTAAGCAGTTCTCCTGCCTCAGCCTCCCAAGTAGCTGGGATTACAGGCGACCACCACCACCAAGTACAGCTAATTTTTGTATTTTTAGTAAAGATGGGGTTTTGTCATGTTTCCCAGGCTGGTCTTGAACTCCTGGCCTCAAGTGATAATCCAGCCTCGGCCTCCCAAAGTGCTGGCATTACAGCCATGAGCCACTGCACCTGGCCTTTTTTTTTTTTTTTTAAAGAGACAGGGTCTCGTTTTGTCACCCACCCAGGCAGGACTACAGTGGTGTGATCATGGCTCACAGGAACCTGAGCTGAAGCAATTCCCCACCTCAGTCTCCCAAGTAGCTGAAACTACAGGTACCACCATGCCCAACTAATTTTTAAAAATTTGTTTTTTAGAGACAGGGTCTTACTGTGTTGTCCAGGCTGGTCTTGAACTCCTGGCTTCAAGCAATACCTCTTGCCTTAGCCTCTCAAAGTATTAGGGGATTACAGGTGTGAGTGACCCAGCCGAGCCTGAGTATTTTTTCAAATTGTGAGTGGATTTTGAATTTTTGTCAAATAGTTTTTCAATCAATATGATCATTTGCTTTTTTTTTTTTTTTTTTTTTTTTTTTAGAAGGTGCTTGGGCCCCTTGTAGATCAGAGGCACCCTACCCCTGGCTGCCAGCTTGGACCCTTACATAAGAGACAAATAAATATCTATGGTATTTAAATTACTATTATTTGGTCTCTATTAAGGCAGGCGCACCAACATTTTAACTAATATGTTCACTTATTGACGGATCGATTCAATAACCTGGCAGTCACCTCGTGCCAGCATCACATAAGATACCAGGAGCCACAGAGACACAAGCCCACAAGGGCCTGTGAATCAGGTAGAGCTTTGTCCCTCTGACAGATGAGGAAACTGAGGCAGGAAACAGTGCAGTGCGGGAAAACACAAGGTAAGCTGGTGGCTGAGCCTTGGTCCGATACCAGGCCGAGGGAGAGCGTCGGAGCGCGGCCCCGACGGCAGCCGCAGCCTCACGCCGTGGAGGGTCGAGGCTCGGAATGACTCACGCCCAATGTCGCCTTCCCAGATGGTGTAGGTGCTCAGGCCATGGACTGCCCTGGCCACAGTGCTTTGGCCCTGCTCGTCCGCCTGGGGGCGCTAGTCGACGCCTACCCCATCAAACCCGAGACTCCCGGCCAAGACGCCTCCCGGGAGAAGCTGAGCCGCTACTACGCCTCCCTGCGCCACTAGCTCAACCTGGTCACCCGGCCGCGGTGAGCGCTGGCACGAGGCGGGCGAAGCGGGATTCCTGGGGCTCTCCCTTGCGGCCCCGCACAGCCGGGGGCGTGGCCAGGTCTCAACACGCCCTTCCCGGCTCCGCCCCCAGGTAGGTGAAACGAGACAGCCCGGACGCGCGCCTCTACAAAACGTTCTACCGCGACGGCGAGGACCACCCCGGCAGGTCTAGGTGAAAGCGCCCCCGTCACCACACCTGCTGCCTCCGAGAGCGCGGCCTCGCCCCACCCCACTCTAGTCCGTCACTTACGACGTCTCCCAGGCTTGCCTCCCCAGATCCCATTCCTTTCCCTTCGCTCCTGGCGCCGACCTGTGGCGAGGACCCCCGAGGCCTCCTGGGAGATCTTCCAACCACGCCCGTCTCATTTGCATACGCCCTCCCGAACCCAGAAACCTGGATTCCGCCTCCTGGCAGCGGCGTCTGAGCAGGGTGCGGGTGCAGGCTTTCAGCGTCTCGGTGCCCCAACCTCTGAGCTGCAGGCCTGTGTGGGGTCCTTCCCTGGTCCCAAAATAAAGAGCGAATTCCACAGAAACGAATGTGTGCCTTTGTATTTCCTTTCCTTTCTCCTTCGTGGAGGTGGCGTCCCTTGGAAGTGGAGGTTGGCGGCGTGGGGGCCAGAGGAGAGAAAACCGACTCGGACAGAGGCGCCCCAGGACAGCAAGGCTGGGGCGGGCGCGGGGGTTCCCTCTGCTCGGAGCCCAGTGAAGACTCGACCACCCAGCGTGGGCCTGGACGGGGCCCAGACCTGGGGCTGCTGTGGAAGGAACTGTATCGAGTGGGGGCAGGGGTGAATGGGGTTCTGGAAGAAGGGGCGGGGAGCGTGGACAGGAGCCTGCTAGGCAGCCTAGGAGAGCAGATGGGGACAGGGCTGTCCTTCCCCCATCCCGTGAAGTCAAAGAGGCACCAACACCCCGGGGCGCTCCCCCAGGAGCTGTATTACTAGCGCCAGGGCTGGAGTGGCTGGCGGTGAAGTGCGGTCCAAGATGGGGCTGTGGAGGACGAGCCGAGTGGGGCTGACATGGCTGTGTGCGTACTGGCCGGAGAGGTAGGTCATTTCTACCGTCCCCCTTTCCCTGAGCGGAGGAGCAATGGGAGTGTGGGGGCTCCCTTATCCCTAAAAAACCGCCCTCCCCCATCTCGCTGAATCCACACTCGGTGGATAAGTCACGAACTGTACTTTCTAGTGATAAGGCCATAAAGACCCCTTCCCATGTACCCCCTTCCCCTGCACTAGATACTGAAGCCTAAAGGCGCTGTGGTTGTCTAAACTGGAGTCAGACTGGAATCCGTCACCACTCTGCACCTATTCCAGAGCCTGCCTGCAAGCTGATCTCTCCTGACATCGATCCTTCCCTGCCCCTTTCCTCCAAGAAGCTTGCCTTGATTGCCCAATTGCACTCTCCCTGCCTTCTCTGGCTGCCCAGCTCTCAGGGCCTCTGCTCTGTTCACTGAGAGTTCTGTGTCTCTGTTCTGTTTCCCTCCTGGGGCCTCAGGAAGGAAGGGCCTATGTCTCCTTCCTCAGACTCAGACTTAGCCTCCTGGTCTTCCTTCTAGATCAGCAAGACCTGCCTGAATCTGAAGCACGGGGCTAGGAGATGAAGGGGAGAATCAGGTTGAGGCCAAAGCCCCTGACCCAGAGAGGGTTAAAAAAAAAAAAAAAGGAAGACTCGGGGTATCCCTGTGTGGAGTAGAGTTTTGAAGTACTGCTTGCAGTTCGATGACTCTGGAAGGAGAGGAGACTCTAAAGCTGACCCTGCCGTAGCTGCAGAGGAGGTCCCTGCTTGGACACAGGTCCCCAGGGGCCCGCAGGGCTCTGACACCCACCCTCCCCTATGCTGACCTCCAGCCTCCCTGGAGGTAGAGCTGAAAGGGTGAGGCTGAGGAGGCAGGTAGGTCACTGGCTATGTGGATTCTGATGTTCTGTGTCTTTGCCCAGGTCACTCTCCCTGCTTGCAGAGCCTTTTCACTCTCTTCAGCCTGGAAGGCACTCTCAGGATAGTGGTCGCCTCCTCCCAGAAGCCTTGCCTGACTTCTTGGGGACGGAGTTAGTTTCTCTGGCTTCCTCTCCCCACTCAGTATCTTAGATCCACTTTCCATGCCATTTTGCTGCCTGTTTCTCCTGCAACAGAACGGGTGGGATGGGAGGACGCAGTGGCTGCCTGGAGCTTTGGCTCATTGTGTGGGTGGGGAGTGGGTTGGCATCCACGATCCCCTGTCTATTGGTCTGCCTGGGAGAGCTGCAGTCAGCTTAAGGCGGATGGAAGAGAGACTTGGTATGAGTTAAGCATGACCACAGATAATTTCTGCCTAACTTGACAGGTCTCATTGACCATCAGTGACATGGGTTCACCTCATGTTCATTTTGAGGAGTGTTGAGCAGTTTAGAGTAATAATATTAATAATTATTAGTAGTATAATAATGAAATAGCAATAATTACCTTTTCCAAAAAGCACTTCTTTTAGACACAGAGCAGTTCATTTTACATATATGATATTACTAGGATATTGATTTGGCTTAAAAAACAGAATTAAGTGATTTAAACAAGCTGGAAATTTCTCTTACATGAAATGTGAGTGGCGTCTGGGGAGTTGGCAGCTCTGCTCCATGAGGGCACCCAAGAGCCCAGGCTCCTCATTTGTGGCTTCCCCACACCCTTCTTCTATGTCATTTACAAGACTGAAGACAGCCCACCATGACTTCATCTGTGTTCCAGCCAGTTGCAAGGGAGGGAAGGGAAAGGGTAGGCACTCTGGTTACTATGTTGTATAATAAGTTACCCTAAAACTTGGCAGCCTTAAACAACCATTGTGTGTCACTCATGATTTTGTGGGTCAGGATCAGGCAGTGCTTGCCTCAGCAGTTCTCACTTTGATAGAATCAGAGGTTGGCAGAACTGCAGTTACCTAAATGATCCACTGGCTGATGCCTGAGAGGCTCACTCCCATGCTGGTGCTGGCTATTGAGTTCAGCCGGGGCTGTTGACCATCATACCTACATGTGGCCTCTCCAGCATGAAATTCTTGAGGTAGTTGGACTTATGTGGTAGCTGGCTGCCCACTTATTTCAAGAGAATCAGATGAAGGTGGTATTGCTGTTTAGTTTGCTAGGGCTGCCATAACAAAGAATCACAGACTGGGTGGTTTAAATGACAGGTCTGGAGGCCAGCAGTCTGAAATGAAGGTGTCGGTAGGGTGATTCCTTCTGATCTGTTCCAGGCCTCTCTCCTGGCCTTGAGGAGGGGGTCTGAGCTGTGTCTCTTCACATCGTCTTCCCTTTATACATGACTGTTTCTGTGCCCAAATTTCCCCTTTTTATAAGGAGACCAGTCCTGTGGGAGAAGGGGCTTACACACTGTAACATGACTTCATCCTAACTGATTATATCTGCAATGATCCTCTTTTTTTTTTTTTTTTTTTTTGAGACAGAGTTTCCCTCTTGTTGCCCAGGCTGGAGTGCAATGGCGCGATCTCGGCTCACCGCAACCTCCGACTCCTGGGTTCAGGCAATTCTCCTGCCTCAGCCTCCTGAGTAGCTGGGATTACAGGCATGCGCCACCATGCCCAGCTGATTTTTTGTATTTTTAGTAGAGACGGGGTTTCACTATGTTGACCAGGATGGTCTCGATCTCTTGACCTCGTGATCCACCCGCCTCGGCCTCCCAAAGTGCTGGGATTACAGGCGTGAGCCACCACGCCCGGCCTGATCCTCTTTCTAAATAAGGTCACATTCTGAGGTGCTAGGAGTTAAGACTTAATCACATGAATTTCAGGGGGGACACACAATTTAACTCATGACAATCACTTCTTGTGACCCAGCCTCAGAAGTCACGTCATCATACCCCATATGTTGTTGGTCAGAGCAGTCACAAGTGCACACACATTCAAGAGGCAGGGACATAGACCCCACTGGAGAATCACACGAGAGAGGAGATATTTTTGTGATCATCTTTGAAAAATATAATCTGCCACAGGCAGGCACATCCATTCCTGAAAACAGAACGCCAAAAATCACTTTCACTCTCAGCCCATTGGTTAAAGGCTAGTCTCATAATGTTAGAGATATTTGCATAACTTAAAAAAAACAAGAATTGATAGCCAACACAACGGGAAGGAGGACTTGAAGGCGTTTTAGAAATCTAAGAGGCAGCCTTCCATCACAGGCCCTGAGGTCTAAAAGAAGACGAGGGGCGGGCGCGGTGGCTCAAGCCTGTAATCCCAGCACTTTGGGAGGCCGAGGCGGGTGGATCACGAGGTCAAGAGATCGAGACCATCCTGGTCAACATGGTGAAACCCCGTCTCTACTAAAAATACAAAAAATTAGCTGGGCATGGTGGCGCGTGCCTGTAATCCCAGCTACTCAGGAGGCTGAGGCAGGAGAATTGCCTGAACCCAGGAGGCGGAGGTTGCGGTGAGCCGAGATCGCGCCATTGCACTCCAGCCTGGGTAACAAGAGCGAAACTCCGTCTCAAAAAATAAATAAATAAATAAATAAATAAAAATAAAAAAATAAAAGAAGATATATTAAGAGTTCAAAACATTCTATGGAAAAAATGTAATAACCTAATTAAAGAGTAAACAAAAAATTTAAATAAACATTTATGAAAAGAAGACATACAAATGGCAAACAGACAAATGAAAAGGTGCTCCATATTACTGATTATTATAGAAATGCAAATCAAACTTACAATGAGATATCATTTTACCCCCGTACGCTGTTGTTGGGAACACAATTAAGAAGAGTTTGGATGTTTCCGATATAACTAAAAATAGAACTACAATGTGGTCCAGGAATCCCACTGCTCGGTATATACCTAAAATAAATAAAATTGGCAAATCAAAGACATATCAGTACTCCCATGTTTGCTGCAGCAGGATTTATGATAGTGAAGATTTGGAAAGAATCTAAATGTCTATTAAGAGATGACTGGATAGAGAAAATGTGGTACATATACACTATCCAGCTATAAGAGAGAATGAGAGTCTGTCATTTGCAATGACATAAATGGAACTGAAAGTCTTTATGTTAAGCGAGACAAGTCAGACACAGAAAGACAAATGTCATATGTTCTTATTTATTTGTGGGTGCTAAAATTCTAAACAAGTGATCTCATAGAGATAGAGTATAAGGATGGTTACAAGAGGCTGGGAAGGGCAGCTCGGGAGCCGGGGGATAGTGGGAATGTTATATGGGTACAAAAAATTGTTAGAAAAAATGAATAAGACAATATTTGATAGCACAACAGGGTGATTATAGTCTAAAATAATTTATACATTTTATAATGACTAAAAGAGTATAATTGGATTGTTTATAACACAAGCAATCAATGAATGAGGGGATGGATACCCCATTTTTCATTATGTATTACTCATTGAATGCCTGTATCAACGTATGTCATGTACCCCCATAAATATATACACAAATTATGTATCCACAAAAATAAATTTAAAAATTAAAATTTAAAAAAAAGAGGGAGGAGAGTACAATGAGGCATGTGTGATCCATGGCCTGAACTAACTTTTCAGGTTAA